TTGCGCGTGGAGCAGAAAAGGAAGATTTTGCGTGTTGAACAGGATTGGGAAGGTGGACGGCGAGGGTGCTCGGCTGCGGGTTGCTATTTCTGATAAAGCGGTCAAAAGAGTTTCTTTAAACAAAGACCTAAAGAAAAAAAGGGAGGAGCGTGTGAAGAGCGTGCTGCGAAGCGGCCGAGGATGTACTCTGGATAGAGGCGGCCGCAGCCCCGAAAGCCCGGAGAAGGGCTCGGCACGCTTGAGAACGCGGTGAAGACGTGGGAGGGACAGTGACAGTAAGGAGCTCCGGGAAGCCAGGCTCTGGCACTGGGAAGGAAGGATTTTCCCTTTGTTCCGAATGAGATTGGGAGCCGTTCAGACAGTGTCGAGTGTCAAGACCTAATCTGAGTCTTGAAAGAGTCGAGAAGGAGAGATTTGCAGCGCGCAAGCCGAGAGAGGCATCTGGGAGGACGGCGACGCTGCAGAGCGTGCGTGAGGGGTCCTAGACTTCGGATGAATTTACAAGCGCAGCTGAAAGCATGTGCTGCTAGGCTGGGAATCAGGAGCGAGAAAAAATGGGGTGGGTGCAGGGAGAACAGCGCGGCAGCTGAGCTGAGCGCTGGGAGAAATGACGCTCTTATTTTCGAGATGGGAATAAGGCCCCCTGGTGAGCGGCGCGGCAGGCTTGGGAGCGTGGCCTGGAGCTCAGCTCTGAACGCCTGAAAGTTCAGATCTTCAGCAAGTGTTCAAGTGGAGACGCTGACGGTAGTTGGACGCATCGTACTGTCTCAATAACTAACTGAGGAGTTGGTTCAGGATAGAAATAGCCATTGTGGAATTTAGCATGGTCCACATAGAGATGGTTTTTAAACATCATAGGCCAATGTAAGCTTCGCCTTTTTTTTTTTTTTTTTTTTTTTGATATAGCGTCTTATTATGCAGCTCAGACTCGAAGTGATTCTCCTGATTCAGCCTCCCCAGTCCTGGGATTACAGGCCTGCACCACTATGCCTAGCTTAGCATCCCCAGGGGTGGGAACTGTGTGGCACGTGGTGCTGGGGATCAAACCCGGGTCCTTGAGCTTTCCTAAGCAGGTGCTTAGTCCACTGAGCTATTTCGCCAGCCCTTAATGTTTAAAAGCAAAAAAAAAACCAAAAACTAGGTTAAACCTCAAGAGCACAGAGGTCCAAGAACAAAACCCTGAGAGGAGGAAATAACACACACAGAGAAAAAGAGGGCACCCCAGAAGTGAATAACCAGGAACTGGAAGAGAGATTCATTTCAAAATGGTTGGAGGAAAACTCTAGCCACATTTAACTGCTGACCTGGAGACCCAGGAAAGGAAACTCTAACTTAACGACACCAAGTTTCCCCTGGAAACGATGATTAGAGGTGGGGGGCAACTGAGTACAAAAAGGAAGCACCATTAATTATTATAAGGCCGGAGCGTAGATTCTCTATTCTACAAGAGCAGATGGGAGGACGTGGTAAAGAATTATTCAGCTGCTAGTGTCATCTCTTCAGGATCTAAATAGGATAACAGCTGAAACAACACCACGCGTGATCATTAATGAGTTCTGCATCTGAATGAAGACTAGATGGTGAAGAATGGGAAATTAACAGGGTACTATAGGACAATATGACAACCTAATCATTATATTCGAAGTGCTTAGGGAAAAGGAAAAAAAAAAACAAGATACTTAAGATAGTGATTCTACTAGTTTCTCTTAGTTCATAGAAAAGGAAGGTTTTGCTGATAGCATTTGGACAGTTTTTCATGGCTCCATCTTATACTCTGAGTAACTACTTTGAAGATACCATTAACAGTAGTTAATGCAATGTATTAACTATTGTTACCTTGCCAATAATTTGTTCTGAAATTTTGCTTTATTTTTTCTTTAAAATGAAATGAGTGCTTTCTATTTATATAATGTTCTCATGGTTTCCAAATCACTTTCAAAAATGTTTTTCTCATTTAATATGCTCAAATACATCTGACCAGACTAGACAGCTTAATCAAGGTCTAAGAAAAATCTTAAAGTCTTAAAAGATCAAGTTATTATTAACCCATCTCATAGATTATAAAACAATTTAAATACCTGCTTATTTTAAGAAATTATTTTAATACTGTGTGGTTAGTTGAGCAGTTTCATACATAATTATTTAACCTGTCCTATCAAAAGTGACTAACTGATTTTAAAACAAGACTCAAAAATGAAGAGTTAGTATCATCGCAGAAATGTATGTACCACTTGTTAAATTCAGATATTAGCTCAGATTTATTAAGCAGCATTGTTACATTGGACATGACAATGGTGATTTATGGAATAGATATCAAAATATTGAAACTGGATTTTGTTTTTTAGAGCTGGGATCAAACCCATGACCTTGCTCATGCTGAGCTGCAGCCTTGCCCCTGAGCTTGGGGACATTACCGATGCATGTTTTCTTGATAGTTTTGTTAAACAGAGCAAAGCATGAACTACAGCTATCAAATGGGTCCCGCAGAATCCCCTAAATATCCACAAAGGATATTGTGAGCACTCTCTCATCCTATTTTTGACATTTTCCCAGTTTCATATCTTTGCACACTCTTTATTCTTTTCAACTGAAATACAAATGTCTTCTCTAAAGACAAAACAAAAAACAAAAACTTTGCTTCACTGTGTGGAATTCTGACTGGGCGTTTTCCCTCACTACTCTCCAGTTCAGTGAATTCCACCTCCACCTTTGCGTCACTACTTCATTTCTTTGCACAAACATTTTATTTCCTAGTTATCTGGGTGCGTATTTGTCTCACCCACTAAGTAAACTTCCAGGTAGTTCCAAAAAGACTTGAAATGAATATTCGCCCGAGCAAGACGCTTTTGACACAAAGTTATAGTAGCTAAATTGGGTGCCCAAGGCCTAACCTAGGATGGGAGCCAGGAGAAGGACAAGCAGCAAGGGCCTGCTCCCCAGAGAAGACAGGGGCTCTGGGAACAAGCTGGTGTTGGCTCTCCCTGGGAATCTCAGGCAGTGCCAGAAATGCCCTTGGGAAGCGCTCGGTTGGGGCCCACAACTAATGCACCTGGGAGAAGTCGGGCCACAACAAGCCTCCCTGCTTCAAATTCTTCACCAAAAAAATCTCTGGAAACCGTTCGCAGTTCCTAGGGAATCAAAGATGCCAGGATGAACAAGGTAGAGCTCAGGCCTGAATTCTGAATTGGGTGAAAAGTTGTTTTCAAGATAATCCACTTTGGTAATCTATAACTATTTTATTGATGGTGTTAATATTTCCTTGGCACTTCTCATGACTGCATTTAAGACATCTTACGCTGTCTCCTACACTGAAGGCCCAAGGCCTCCTTCCCGCTAAGCTTTCCTTCTCCCTCTGGTCATTCCTGACCTCATCTCTGGCCCTACTCCCTGCACATATGTAGAGCACCCCTGTACAAAGGACTAGCATGGTCTCAGGATCCCCCAACCTCGCGATCATACACCTGGGTATTTTGTGCTCTTTGCCATCCCCACTGCCCTCTTCTGGTTTTCTCCAAATCAGCTGTCCTTCCCCTGGGACCATGGCCTTAGTAATTGACCCGAGTAACCAGCTCTCAAATGGATGAATCTGCGCTGTTCTCAAATGTGCGTGGTATTATTTTAGCAAAGAAAATTCATAGAACTAGCCACCTCTCCTTATTCTTTTTAACTTGCTAACACTCAGTTCTTGCTGTGAATATAAAATTTCAGGATTCTTAAAACTGTGTGAGCCAAGGAGTAATTTTGTACCCGGCATGATTTCTAGTACCTGACACTGACTCACTGAAATGCTGAATGAATGAATGAATGAATGAATGAATGAATGAATGAATGAATGAAGAACTCAAATATTGAGTGTATTTGGCATTTTAGCAGAATAAAATAAAAGCTAGATATTGTTCTGAAGAGTGTTTGTAGACAAACACAACTTGTTTGCTCTTCCTTATGAATTTCTATGTCAGCCTCTTTTCATATTTTGGCAAGATGCAATAGACTCCCAGCCTCACTATTCCTACATTTTTCTATTGGTGTAATCATTATTTCTTTACCACTTTCATTAAAAAGGTAGAACTAGATGACCAACCTCTGTCCTTGGTTGAGCTGCAAGAGAGGAGACTTGGGCACCCGCTGTCCCCAGCAGCCCTCATCCTCTTCCTTCATCTCCCTGACTCTTACCCCCATCACTCCTGAGTCCCAGAAGCAACCCCTGCATTTTAGAAAGAAAGTGGAAAAGAAATCCTGAGAGACAGTAGCCACCTAACCCTTCTTTGTAGCATGAAACTGGAAAGAAAAAGGAAATCTTAAGACCATTTTTTCATACAAATAATCGCTCCATCTTTTGTGTTTCTTTCTGCACATACACATGCAGATCTGAGCTGAACAAAGGCATAAGAAAGCCATCTTCTCCTCTTAGCATTGGAGAAAGATAAAAATCAAGCATTGTGGAGTCACGGGGGGAAGAGCAAGGTAGAGATTGGTAGTAGCTGTGGGTCGCTGCTAGCTTTGCCAGGATTTCCATGAAATCTTGCCTGAGTTCCTGTCTTGTACAGGCAGCAGGGAGGCAGAGGCACGGCAGGAAAGCCTCAGAGTCCGACCTCCACGCTCAGAGGCTTTGGCCCCTTTTGAAAATTCTGAAAATATAATGGGGGAATGTGCAAAACAGTAAAGTTTTCCTTGTGCAAAAATTAGATTTTTGCATCAATGGAAACCAGGCCTTCTCAAATTTTCAAAGGTGCACACCTGCAAATGCTTCTGTTCATCTTGTCTGCCAAGAGCTAACAGTCTTCAGTCATGTTTTGAATGTCCGACCTTTCTCTCCTGCCTGAAACAGATGCCACTTCCATGCCAGTCTCAGCCACCTGTTGCCACCGTGTGTCATGCTGATTCACATCCATGTGACACCATGCCATCTCTCCTCCATCCCTCCTCTTACCCCGGCATGTAGTGTGCTATTACTCTGCCGCTGTCTACACTCTGTATACATTTCTGTTCTTCCTTGCAAGATTGTGAATGCTTCGGCCACTCCAATCGGTGCAGTTATATCGATCTGCTCAATACAGTCATTTGCGTGAGCTGTAAGCACAACACTAGAGGGCAGCACTGTGAGCTATGCAGGCTGGGCTACTTCAGAAATGCTTCCGCACAGCTGGACGATGAGAATGTGTGCATAGGTCAGTCCCATTATAATTTCAGCTTTGTTCTGTGCCTTTTGAACGATGGGGAGCTAGCTAAGGCTGACGCGCCGGTGACTGCCGCACAGCCAGGTCAGAAAGAACTTTCTCACTGGGGCAAAGATTCTTGTGGTAGACTTGAAATTCACTTCTGCTAGTTGCAGTGGTACCGGGGGAGGGGCTATATTGTGAATCCTTACGCTGTCACTTTAAAGATGATGATCGGAGCTAGCAAGTAAAGGCAATGGAGATTTTCCTTTCTTTTTTCTTTTTCTTTACTTTTTCTTGCATGAAATCGTGAAACCTGGTAATTTTGATTTGATTTTTATGACCAACCTTAGAAAAGGAAATTCATTACAGAAGATTTATTTATAGACATGAAAATTGGGGGTGCTAGCTCATGCATATAATTGGGGGTTGGAGCAAGGATTGACGGGTTGAAAATGTTGCCATTTGGAATCAAAAGCTGCTAGCAACTGGTAAAATCAAAGTTTGCCTGACTTTTCCATCCATGGTAATGAAATTTCATTTATTACGTTTCCCCAAGCCACCCAAACAGACACGTATCTCAAGTGGTTCTCTTAGCTTCCAACGTACACGAGGCCTGGAAAACGGGGTCCCCGGTGGCCTCCTGAGTGCTTCCCACTGTTCCCCCACCGTCATGACTACTCCTGTCACCTGAGGAGAAGGCCGGTGCCCTTCCCTCCCCAAATCTTCTACCTTCTGCAGAGTGGGACTTGTCTTTAAAAAAGAGTGGCTGGTGGAAAAATAAGAAACAATAAATGGAATTTCACGCTTAACTTACTTTGAAGAAATGTATATATCTGAAATGCTGTATCTGGTACCACACTAGTAGTTAACTCTCCACATGAGCCATTTTAAAGGTAGAATTTTTCATGTAGGGATGAAATTGAATCTACGAAATGGAAATGACCGATGATTTTTCATCAAAAAATGCAATCCACCTGCATTTCTGGAATTATTGCTTTCTAATTGGCTTGTCAAGGTCATGTAGAGTCTAGCCGACTGTCACAAAGTAGCTGTGCAATTTTTTTTAATTGGATGAAGCCAAGTATACATAGTACTATTCATGTTTGGAGTATTTTTTGTTTCTCAAAGATCCTCCTATTTATTATTTGTGAATTAGTGGATAGAGTACTGGACTTAAAACTGGAGAACTGGGTTCAAGTCCTGGTTTGCTATTTAGTAGCTGTGTGCCTTAGGTAAGTCATTTGATCAGGTGGGGCATGCAGGAAGAGCCTGATCAGCTGTGAACTGACCTACAAATGTAAATAATCCTCATTAACCAAACCGTAGGGTAAGTATACACTGATAATTTCCCCTATTTCCTACTTAAGAAAAAAAATAAGGCAAATAGACCCCAATTGTAAAGCTGTCGCAGGAGCTTCCTGATTTCAGAGGTTGACACTCTGCCCTAACCACTGTACCACAATCAGCCAAGTCAAGCATGACAGCGTTTCACTTACAGCATGATTTTTGGATGACAGCAGCAACTCCAATATGACCTTACAAACAGAAGCTCGACTGCCTTTCTAACACATGGGTTAGGATGATTTGAGGGTATTAATATGAATCAGAAGGACATGGCTGTCTGAATTTTGAATGTAGGATATATTCAACTGAATGGCATTTATAAAAATACATAAATGTCATGCTATAAATATGGAAACAGCAGAGAAGGTAAATAGGAACACAAGAATAAGGCCTGCTTATTTTTATAAAATACATAAGATTAAAACATCTTACAATATTTAACATTTTAAATGAATCAAAGGAAAAGACCTTAAAGGAAAATAACTGAGCAGTGAATTGTAAAGGCTATGCAGCTAGGAACTGAGAGTTAATTTTAATATCATTTTTTTTCAGGAAAGCACTAATAAAAATAAATGGGTGTTTACCTAACTCATTTGCACAGAATTAGGCAATAGTCTTGGAAACTTTGAATTTCGTCTAAATCTTATCTACATTAAATTTTTTTAAGTGTACCTTGACACTTCCTTAAAAACTGGCAATTAATTTTTCATGCTGCCTGTAAAGGAGCAGATCCTACCTTTGGAAAATGTTTCTCTGTTGAGATAGATGTTTCAGGGCCGGTGAGATAGCTCAGTGGTCTAAGGCATCTGCTAAGCAAGCTTAGGCAGGTGCAGGGAACTATGGTTCAATTCCTGGCACCATATGCTGTGCCAGTCTTGCCCTTAGGGTGGGCTGAGCTGGCCAAAAATTTTAAAAAAAATTAAAAATAGATGTTTCAAAGTACTTTCATCATTTTATATTATGGCAAATATAAAATGCAATTCGCCAATCCATGTTGCCGCACTGATTGCTGCTTTGTGATTACCAGTGAACTTACACATTTTTAAATAAAAATTCCAGCTCTAACTATGTCTCCAAACATGCATGTGATTATCTTATGATGATGCAAAAATTACATGAAGATGACATCCTTGCATGCCTGTTTCATATAAACTTGAGCACTAAGCAGGAAGCTGGAGAATACGTGCCTTGTGCCCTTGGATAATCACTGTTAATAATCACAGTTAACAAGCTTTTCATCTGAATGAAGCACAGACTCAGCAGTTGCTGCTAAACATATCTCAAGGTTTTGATGTATTATTTTTAATTCTCCTTGAAACCTAAGATCAGGTAATCAGAGGTACCTTATGTAGAACAAAGGAAATACAAGACAATTTTAATACCTATAAATCAATTTTAGTGTAACTTTTTAATCAAGCCCAGCAAAAGCACTTCATGCTCTTTTGTAATCTTGCAGTTCTGTATAGTCTTCATAGTTTCATGAAATAAAATATAATCATCCATGGCTATCCCTGTTACCCTACATTGAGAAATAAATATAGTCTGTGGATGATATTCTTGAAAAATTCAAATACTTTTATGTAAGATGGAGGGTGTCACCACATCTCTCCGTGTCGTTTATTTGCATGACTGTTTGGATGACAGTGCACCGGTCACCTTTCCCAGGATGAGCCACTGATATGCTGTCATTTAGAGATGTCCCACTGTTGCCTTGTTGCTTACTTTGTTTATGTTTATTCATTTAAAGCCTTTTATTAATTAATGCTTATGAATAATTAACTAAAACAGTTAACTAAAACTCTTGCCGGCCAGCTCTAATTCTGATAACTGGTGTACAGACATTGTTGAGTTATTGTTAGCTTATATACTTTAAATGGCAGATAAATAGAGACATTTTGCAACTCTGACCTAGATGCATACTTAGGAACAAACATTGAAAAAAGCACAACAAATTATCATTTAAAAATATGTCTTAAAAACAGCTCCTATGTACACATATATATTAGAATGTCACTTACAATAAAACCTTAGTTATTAAGTATAAACCTACTCAGGCAAAGAGGGAAGATAATAGAGTTTATTTATTTAGATTTTAACATATGTCTATCACAATCAGTTTTATGCTATTTGTTTTGTAAAAATGCTGTTGGCAAAAACTGACAATCTGAAATAAACCATAATTCTAAATTGCTCTACCTTGCTTAAAGAAAGTATCTAACTAATGTTTAAAATGTAAAGTTAGGACAAACTCTTACAGTGTAAAGTAAGTGTACTTCTGTAATGATAAATTCTTGATCTCCTTGCTAGTCTTAAGGCATTAAACTTGCTTATATCAAACCAAAGTTCTTACAACTTCAGTTGGTCGACCAGTGGGTCGGTCAGTTGGTTGGTTGATTGAACATAAGATTTTTGGATGGATTTTATTAAGAGAAGATCTTAATGGGCTCATCTTAAAATAATGGGCATTTAAAGATGAGAGACATAATTTGCTACTAGAAGTTACACCATGGGGCAATGAAGAATGAAAATTTGGTTCACAAATACTGTAAATTATAAACTACCTATAGTACTCTCCCAGCTAATGGAAGCCTAATGAATTCCCACTTCTAGTTCAAACTCTAAATACAATAGAGCTCCAAAAGTAAAAAATATACTATAGAACAATGTGTCAGGAATCAAGAAAATGTTCTGTTTCCTGTTTATTATGCAAAACTGTATTGTCCTGCCAAGCAGGCATTATAATGAAAAACAGACATCTCAAATTATATCTATGTTGAAACTTATTTAGATCATAAAACCTATTTTTCCTTCATGACCGTTAACATAGGCTGCCAGAAAGCTATCTTACCCGGCCTAGCAGTCCAGTATCCGGAGGCTCCTCACAAGACAATATGCACATAAATAAGTGAAGGCTCCAGCCCAAATCATAAAGCAGAACTACCCTCGAGCGAGCGAAGTGCACCCACGTTGCACTTTGTAAACGCTCAGCAGTTCTCAGATATTGAGTTTAACAGATAAGCCCATTTGAATAATTTAAAACAGATTTTTACACTGATGGTATATTGATTTATCCTTGAAATCCAAACTTCTCATGGTGTTCATTAAACCATCTAAGAATGAGCTAGCAAATGGAATCTCCATGATGATCTATTGCCAGTGGAAAGCACGAGGTCTTGTTTCCATGGAAGCTTTCAGTTGATTTCCTCCTGTATCATAAAGGTGATACGGCAGAAGACTGGGCAAATAAATAAATGGTCCTGCAATGGATGTATTTGCCAAAGCATTTCATTAACGGGCATCTTTCTTTAAGTAAGTGATACATTGCAGTAAGTAACGTTTCTGTGATGCTCGCCTGTAAACCGTGTGGCCTTGTCTCCAGCCTGTGTTATCTTGTTTCTACAGAGTGTTATTGTAACCCTTTGGGCTCAGTCCATGACCGTTGTAATGGCTCAGGATTTTGTGAGTGTAAGACTGGAACCACAGGGCCTAAGTGTGATGAGTGTCTGCCGGGCAATTCCTGGCACTACGGCTGTCAACGTAAGTAACTCTGGGAGCTCCCTCTGCCTGCTGCAGCATGGCTGACTCTGCTTGTGTAGGCCAGTGCTGTCCGTGCAGCTTCTCAAAGCAGAAAAAGGCCCCAATCACTGTCAAGCTTTGAAAGGCTACTTAATGCCTCAGTCTACGTGTACGAGAGCGATCCTTTACCTGTCCAGCTGGCTTCGGTAAGGCTCAGTGCAGTTCCCTGTGACAGCTGGCACGACTTACAATGAAATATTGTGTGGAGACCCATGTACCTGGCCAGACCATAAATTCAGTGGCACCCTAGGGACCCAGCTTGGAAATCCTCACCACAAAAGGAAGGGTGATATGTATGTGGTTAATATATTTCTCAAATTGAAAACTACCCTGGAGCTCCAGAGTTCATAAATTCAATGACATCTACATAACGTATTACCACATTTGCTATGGTACCCATCCCTGAATCTTAACCAAAAATATGAAGGTAATAAATAAATCTAATGGGTATCTAAATGCTAACATAAAATAAATAACAAAAATCAATATTGATTTTAAGTCTTCCAGGGTAGGCACCATGGAGAAACTCTTAGACAGCTGCCACTTGGTTCAGCTCTGTTTCTCTGGAGATTATCAGGCCTTCTTAAAGGCTTGTCAAGGGAGGGAGCATGTCAGTGTACCCAGAATGGAAAGCTGAAAATCTAAGACGAGACTCCCTCCTGTCATTATAACCTTTCTTGATCTTTTAATTCTGCACTAACTTTCTTTTCCACCTGTACACAGACAACCTACTAATATTAAATAACTATGAGGCACATCCTCTATTTTAGAACATAGCAGCAGATCATTATGCAAGCCACACTGTATAATTTTTGGTGTGTGATTATCCAAGTTAATGAAGTAATAAAAAAAAACAGAAAAAATATATATATACTTTAACAACTTAGCCTATTTAACCCTAAACACACACACACACACACACACACACACACACACACACACACAAATTTCAATAGAATTTATATCAAAGTTGAGTCCACCCTTGGCTTGGCCACATCGGAGGCACAGACATTGACATGGGAACAAGAAGGCAATGCAGGAAGAAAAGCAGAGGTAGAGTGGGGCTGACCATGACCTGGGCAGGGACGATCTGGAAGTGAGCAAACTGTTAGGCAAGCGCTACTAAAGAGAAACCACAGTAGATTTCAGAAAGAGCCTGGAATTCCAGACCCGGTGCTCCAGCACCCTGAGAACACTTGCAGAGGGAACCATGAGGAATGCAGCGCAGAAGAGATCCAATTCCTAACATGGTTGCTCACAAGCTATGCATGGAATGAAGTGAGTATGCCATTCACACGGATTCTGGGTTTGAATCCTGCCTCCATCCCTTAGTACCTGCAAGAGTTGGAGGCAACGAATTGGACTCTTTAAACCTACTTTTTCCATGTAAAAACAAGGACAATGAAAGAATCTAACACATACGGTAATGGGAAAATGGTTAACAGAGACTGCAGGAAGAACCCATATCAAACACATTTATTTTATAATAGTAGTGCAGAACTGGAAGCAAGATAGGGCTCCATTGAAGTTGTCAAACTGTATATCGACAGGATTCTAAAGAGACTCTCAGTTCAAGACAGGGCTGATACAAGAGGCTGAGGCGACAGTGACCAGGAAATTCACTGTGTGGCTCTAGCTGTGGACACGAAAGAACTCCAGGATCATCCATGAGCTTTCTTCCTGTAGGACTACCAACCCTTATTCTCACAAATACAAGCTAGCCTTTCTGAACAAGCAAGTGAAACACTTGAAAACCATCAAGATGAGTAGCCTTTAGACAACACAAAGCAACCCTTGAAAGAAAAAGAAGTAAAATCAATTCTGAAGAGGCCGGCAGAATCAAAACTGTTGAGGTCCCCCAAGGAACAATGAGACACTAATTAAGAGAATTTTTTTTAGTATCTCTTTAGAAGTCAGAGACAAGATAATAGCGAAGTCCCAGAGAATAAAGCTGAACCTTCTATGGAGAAGGCAGCACTAAATACTTCATATAAAACAAAGGGCTAACCCTTGCTACTAGCATCAAAGGGACTGTATGTAAGGACCCCTTTTGAATTTAGGGTTGATAGGTCAGAAATTGCCGCATTCAGAGTGAATGAGGCTGAGAAGATATTTTTCATCGTAGAGGGTACATGCAGGACATGCTGGAAAGCCCTGCATTGTTTGCTGTGGCCAGTGGTGGCCACTCTTTTTAACCAAACTTATGTCAATATTAGTGGTATTTTCAGAAGAACTCATAGGCGGAATATTTGGATCAAACTTTAAAAATTGGTAGTAGATTAAATGAGATCTTGGAAAGCAGCTACGAGATACCAAGAACTAAGCACACAAATCTGAGGGAGGCTGAGGTTTAGTGCTGGGCCATGTCTGGCCACATCACAAAAGAGATCAAGTCATAGGTTACCAAGAAGAGGAAAACATACTTAAAAGGAGGCTCAGTAACCTAATCAATATGGCCTTTTATCTATAATTAAAAGAAGTATCTGGAATATACCCTGATGCAGCTGCCAAACCAGATATTATAGCATACTAGAAAATGAAACACACACACACACACACACACACACACACACACAAATAAACAAACAAAAAAACCCTAGTCTTTTTCAGGTGTCAGATAAGTCAAAGTTTGGAAAATTCAATTCATGGCTTAGGTACATTAATTTGCTGAAAATATACAATAACTATATCATATTTCTACTCGTCTAACACGTCATCAAAACTTTCTTGGCTTTAAACACCATGCAAGTGTTGTGTTACAGTTCCATACTTGGAGGTCGGTAAGGGTCAGACTGGAAGACCCTTCCACTGGCTGTTGAGAAGCATCTGCTAGCTTGCCTTCCCTTGTGTATAGAGGCCTCCTTGCATCCCTTTGCTCACATCCCCCTCCCCTCATCTTCAAAGCCCATAACTTCGCAGTTCTTCGTGCCTTTACTCCATCATCATATCACGACTTTCTCTGACTATGACCAAGAAAGAGTCTTTTTTGTGGGGGGGGGACTCTGGGATTGAACCCCTAGTCTCACTCATAGCAGGCAAGTGTTCAACTGAGCTACATTCCAACATCTCCAATTCTGAATCCTACGCAGATCAGTTAGGGTACTCTGTGCATCTCAAGGTCTTTAATTTAGTCACATGGCTAAAATCTCTCTCTCTCTCTCTCTCTCTCTCTCTCTCTCTCTCTCTCTCTCTCTCTCATTTTTTGTGGCACTGGGTATCAAACTCAGGACCTTGCACTTGCCAGGCAGGTGCTTATGCTGCTGAGCTATCTCCCCAGACCTGCTACACTCTCTTTGTCTCATCAGGTGACAGGTTCTAGGGAGAAGGATATGGCCATCACTGTGGAACCATTCTACACTATGTGCTATGGCGATCACTTAGCGCATCAACCTTTAATGGCAGGGACAAATAGGAGGGTCCTGTGGAATGCAGCTCATGCCTGGAATAGATACGCAAGGGTGAGATGCTCTCCATGGAAATAGCTGCTAGCGTGAAAAAGACAGAGATAGGTCACAAGTAGACTTGTAGTGTGAACTTGAAGGCAAGACTGTGAAGCACTTTTCATGCAAGCTGAAGGCTATACGGGAAAGGCCTTGTGAGAGTGTATCAAAGGCAAGAATGTGGAGGTCATATGATCCAATGGAAAATTATGTAAATGTTCTATAATCTTCCATAGTGAGGGAATTAAAATAGCGAGATACCTATTAACAGATTTGTTCTGCTAAAATTGGTGAGAATTTCTTCACCAGAGCAATGAAGTAGTGCATTGATCTTGGAGAACCCGTCATGGACAATGTGGATGCAAAATTCATGGAAGAAGTAAGTGCTACAAAAATCCCATGATGTATTGTTCCTTAAACTTTTTAAGAAAAAGTTTTAATATTTATGACAAAAAGGCATGATCTTAGATTCTCTTTTAAAGCCTGCATGTGCCTGCACACACGAAAGCCTAGATTTTCCCAACAGTCTACCAAGGAAATGGAAGCCACCAAAAGTAATCAATTCAGCAATCCAACAGTCAAATATATGAGGCTCGATAAGCATTAATGTGGTTCCTTTATGCAAAGTAGATGTGGTAGAGAGTGATGTGAATAGAGATTCCAGTGACAAAGTTGCAGGACTGCTAGATAGCACCCAAGTTGAATTCCAGATGTCAGTGGGGCCTGAGTGACAAAGAAGCCGAGATAATTTGACTGAGAGGAGCCCATATAAGTCCTTGTCTTCTGAAGCATGTAAAATGTAGAGGACAGTGTTGCAGGTGGTCCTCTTCGATATAGGCGCTTCCATGTGAGAGTTGGAGGTGGTTGGTACGCACACAGCTGGGCATCTTCCAGATGTCAGCCATTGTTGGAGGACTATGGTGTGTCAAGGAGATCCGTTGGCTTGGAGACAGGTCAAGGGTCATCCCTTAAAGAGCTCCTTCCTCTACCTGATGGAAAACACTGTGCAGATAATGATAAGTTCCCCATAGACGAAAAAGTTCAGACAGAAGCTGGACAGGCTCCTGGTAGTGTTTCTTCTTATGAGTGGAAAGGGCATGAGTGGGAAGCCCAGTGCAAAACCCTCTGGGACCACTTAAGCTTTCCAACCCTGACCTTAACACATGGCCCTGGAGCTGAGGATAGGTGCGATGGGTATACACTACTCAGTTTTTATTATTCCCCACAGTTTGGGATCATTATATAGAAAAATAATATATATTATTGTATTCTACATAATATAAATTATATTCTCATAATATACTATGTCCTATATAATATATTATTATATAGAAAATCTTCTATATGTGAATAACTCTTTACCCAAAGATGTCAGACTCCTGTACTTATCGCTACTCAGGTTCCATCCTCCAAAATTCAGGTGTTAGTGACATAATTCCATTTATTCCAGAGGTCTTCTGTTATTATAGGTCAGAATGAATCATTTCTTTTCTGTGTTTCTTTTTTCTTATTTTTTGTTTG